AAAATTTTTTAATTTTTAGCTTATATTTCTAAAGTAATCATGTGTAATGTGGATTGAGAGAGGGAGAAGGGAAGGAGGAAGGGAGGGCTTTATATCTGAAATGGCGCATCCTCTCTGGACAGCTGAGAGTTAGTGGTGATCCTTCCATCCAGTGATCAGCCTCAGCAAGAGATGACTCCATGCATATTGCTCTCACTTTGCTTGTCTGTGTTAATTATATTACAATCTATTTGAGTTAATTGATAATAACAGCTACCATCTATTGAGTTCCTACCATGAGGCAGGCATTGATTACGGCGCTTTGCAACATGTTGCCTCTAATCTCTCAACAAAAAATCTGTGTTACCAATGAACAAGCGAGCAGAGGATGCCTAAGCCCTAACAGCCAATAACAGCAGCAGAGCTGAAATTCATTTCTACGTTTCTCTAGCCCCACATCTTACACCTTTGCAGACTGGAGAGCGAGATTTGTAGCACTGGTGAAATTAGGCATACATGTACCCCATGGTCCACCAATTCTTCTCCTGGATCCGTATCTCAAAGGGATAAGGCACACGTACGAGGATGCTCATTGCTGGACTATTCTGGCAGTGAGGAGTTTGGAGCAATTTGAGTACCCATCACTAGGGAACAGGTAAGCAAAGTATGGTGGCTGTACACCAGGGCACATGAAATGGCAGTTAGAAGCAGACAAACGTGGAAAAGCCAATGAGGACAGTGGGGCACAAATTAAACTGGACGATTAACTCGACTCTCTCCGCTTAAAGCCAAAAGGGGAAAGGCTTTGAAAAATCACACAAACAAAAACTCCTATACTCCCTTACTGTTTCATGGGTACAGAGTTTCAGTTTAGGATGATGGAGAAGTTTGGGGGTGGATAGCACTGACTGTAGCATAACAATGTAAATGTACTTAATGCCACTGAACTGTACACTTAAAAATAGTTTAAATGGTAAGTTTTACGTTATGTATATTTTACAGAAGGAAAAAACCTCCCACACTAGTAATCTTCAAGACACTAGGCTACCGATCCCTGCCAGTCTTTATATTCCCCCCCGACAGACCCCTGCCTGATATCAAGTAAGTCATACAAACCTTTGCACTCAACCAGTGTTGGCTAAATGGAATGTAATGGCTTGCCTCTACTAAAAGCTTAATGGTGTGACTTCTGAAAGCTGTTATTACACTTACTTGGGCAATTCCTGCAATAAATGCATTAAAGCAAGTTGACAGGCGCATTTTTTGAGGCGCAATCATGAAGCAACCTTCCTGTTGGTCGTAGCCGAGTAAGACATACAGGTGCCGCTTGACTGTGTTGAAGGCCTTCGCACTGCTGATGTCTGACTCGGCGCTGCTCTCATCCTTGGCCATGAACTTCATGAGCACTGTAATCAGCTGGTGAACTGTCTGGTGGTCGATGCCAGCATCTTCTGGGAGCAGGTCCTTGATGGTGTTGTCATTCTCAGGAGATTGTTGTCCTGTCGGTACAAGAAAGGCTGTCAGAAGACGGCTCCCCCACAAGTGAGTTTACACAAAAATCTCACTTAGATATTGATAAAGCCCCATTCTTTCTGTTTCTATCAAATATTTAAAGGTTCTGTTCCAGACAAGAAACTTAAAGACACAATATGGCCTACTAAGCAAAGCATTAGTACAGGGGTGGAAGTTATTGTGTCCAACAACCAAGTAATTTGGAAGGATTAGGGGATGGAAATGAAAATACAGCACTATAAAGCGATATTATCCTAAAACAAGACAAACACCTAATGAACTTTGCATTTAGGAAAACTTTTAAGATCTTGGCAAAGTTTTATACTCAGTGACAGAGAAAAAGTTTCCCTTCCAGCTTTGTAAAATAAGCATGTAAGAATAACCACAAAAATAACAGTCTAAAATCCACTGAGTACAAAACCATCCATTAAGTTCTTTTGTTTAAATTATTACCTCAATTCAGTTATGTTCATGAATCATCTGGTGCAAAAAAAAAAAGTTTTCTTTTCCAAATCCTGAGATATTAGCAATGTGTACTCTTTGAATGAAATAGTCAAAATTATAAATAGCAAATTATAAGCCCTGCTTTATGTAATGAGAAACATACAAGGGGTGGGGGGAGACACAGACAGAAAGAGAGAAGCATGAACTTTTAAAAACAGAAAAACACATGAAGGTGAGCTGAAAGTTCACATGGAAAGAGAAATATCTTAGCCCTTGGCTTCCTAGTAACCTAATAAATAATTGTATCTGAGTAGCTCCCTGACATTGACTTTCTCTGTCATTTTTTTTTTTTTTTGAAGTGAGAAGTTATACCCTGTCTCCCCTTTGCTCTTCTGTCCCTTCTGATCAGGTTTGGTTTAGGACTTTTGGGAAGGAAGAGTGATATTTGCTCTTCTGCAATGATGTTTTGGGAAGTGTCCAAAATACTCTTTGCATTCTTGTCCTTCTTTTGACAAGCGACATTAGAATTTCTAAATTGAAAACAGAGTTTTTAGCTGGCAGGTTAGATCAGCACACTGGCATTCTCATCTCTCATCCTGCTAGGAAAAGTTCTACTAAATGATGACAAGCTTTGGTTACAACCCATTACAAACCAAGACTTGGTTACATCCATTTTCATTACGGTATAAGGGATGCAGCAAAGAGCTAGGTAGTACTTTATACCATTAACTCCTCAGTTTATTTGGAAAAATCTCAATCTTCCAGGACATAACCAAGAGGAGCAAGATACAAGAAATGTTTCCGGAGACTGCAGAAATTAGCTATCTCAAGTGCAAATATTTTTTTCTCTGGGACAGTAGCATGAAGGTCGAATTCAAAATTTACTAGTTTAGACCTGCACATAAGATAACAAGCTTGGTTGTCTAGTTTCCCCAGACAATCAGAAGAATGTTGGTCTGTTCAAAAGTGATATACTGAAGAGGGATAGTTGACAATAAGTGATGAGGTGGCAGAACCAACTTAGTCTAAGAGCCTCTAATAAGCTCAGAGGAAACCATCTGACATTTCATTATGTTCTAGGACATTAACATTTTCTGTCTCCTAGTCTGCCCATGAAAGAATGAATATGTGCAATGTACTTCAGAGTATTTTTATCAAAAATTATTCAAATAAAACCTACGGATTTATTACAGTGCTTTGTGTGTAGGAAGTAATCAATAAATTGTTAATATCATTATTAGGCATGTATCAGGAAAAAAATCAATTTTGTGGAACACCCTGTTTCAACTAGAGGCTGGAAGTGTGAAGCATCACTGTATGTTATAGTTAAATTAAATATTTGGAATATAGGATTTGACCAAAAGCAATACCTATGTGAATCCTTGTAAAACAAAATAGAAAAAGTTTAGAGAATTATCTTTTCAGCATTGAAAAATATTTGCTCTTAGTTTTTTTTTTCCTCCAAAGTATTACTTTACAACTAGAAGGACATTATTGCTTTGGGCAAGTCCAGACCAAAAATGTGAGAAGTATGGGAATATAGGTTCCCTGCAGGGTCCAATGTTATTGCAGCAGCAAGTGATGGCTGTTACAATATAGCTTCATTCCTCAATTCCTTTTAGCTCTGGGGTGCAAGGTTTAAGAGAGCATGTATCACTCAGTCCTGCTCAGCCACCTCCGTGTGCAGAGTGGTTCATCTTCAAAGTCCCAAAGTTAAAAAATGGAACTGGGAGTGTTCAAGAGGAAGTTGCACCTTTGTTTTATAGCCTCGAGAATTTAAGGACCTCAATACAAAGGAAAGGGAGCTCCCCACAAGGCCCAGCTAGGACTCCACCCCCATTTCCTTCCATCCCAATTTCAAGTCTAGAAAACAGCCCATCAGACTTCAGCTTAAATATGTCAAAACTCTTCTTTCCACTGCAAATGGGCATGTTTTTTAAACATGTGTAACCTTAAGTTTTCCCATCAAATCATATTTTCCTGATGACTGTCAGGTATCATTTCAGACTGTCCTAGTCTCACTGTAGATTCATCTTCACTGATCTTCAGTGTTTTGGCTTTGAGTTTGCTGCTCTTACTTTGCTTTCTCTGAAGAGCCAGTAATAAGTGATCTTTAACAAACCATTAAATGTACTGGAAAAAGAACTAGTTAATGGGACCTTTTGCATAAAATGGAAAAAAAAATCTATTTTCAGTCCAATAATTTATTCCTCCAGTTGTGGGCTTTGCAAGTCTGCATTTTGTTTATGGCCTCTCTTTAAAACAGAATAAGATTGTGACTAGCACACTCTTCACAAAGACAAGTTACCTTAATCAACTCCCTAAGAAAAATGAGTCTATAGACAAGCTGAAATGTTCTTTATTGATAAAGACAGTATTAATGTTTTAGTTATCTATAAAATGTATGAAATTTCCATTTTAAAACTAAATGCTTACAATATTTTCTCTAAGGTATGACACTTAAAATATTTACAGTTTTGAATTCTAGTCTATGAAATTCCCATATCTGTCTTAACCATAGAAATTTAGCATGGTAACAGGTCTGATTTTATTATTTCTATAAAGAAAAATGTAAGCATCTTTATAATTGTGGAGGCAGAATTATTCCACCATAACTTTAATGTGGACTGAGTCCATCATTGTATGTCCACGGAGTTGAACAACTGATTGAAACTCCAAAGTATAGTACAATGTTATTTATTCAGAAGATTTGAAACCAGGCAGGATCAGGATCTGCTTTTCCAGACTTATCTCCTATTATTCCACCCGGAACGCTGGACATGCGTAAAAGCTGGGCTACTCATGGATGTCAGAATGGAGCTAACACTTCCCATCTTTGAGTCTTTGTTCATTCAACCCTGCAAGGTGGTCCTCCACGCCCCACCCTATTTCATGCTGTGGGTCTGGTCCCCCAAAGCCATTCTTATTACATATGCCCCCCTCCTCTCAGCAATTGGATGTGATCCCTAAATTCTGTGAATTTTCAAAGACAAGAAGGGAGGAAAGATGGGAGGGAGAAAGGGAAGAATGGAGGAAAAATTCCTTTAGCATTTCCTAACTCTCATGTGGCAAATAACTATTACCAAAGGCAGAACTTTTTATGCATTCATTTGCCTTATTTCCCAGATAAGAACGTAGACTCCTTGAAGGCAAGTACTATATCTTCTCCATTTTTATATCTCTCACAAAATGTGGGACAGTGTTTACATACAGTAGGTGCTTTTTTTATTCATAAACGTCTGTTTAAGTGCACTAAATTCAAATAAATATTTCAGATCTTATATTCTATGTCAGAGAAAAATTGATGGAGTCCCCAAAACAGCAGAGAAACAAGAACATTTCTCTGCGTGAACTGGCTCACCGACCCCTCTGTCAAACCAACAAGTGACAATCAGGTAGGGGAAGAAAGGATCCCTTCCCCAGGCTTACTCTGCGTTTCGTCCAGAGAAGCCAATGACCAAGCACTGCAAACGAGGCTGCATTCCGTTGGTGGTTCTCACTATACTGCCTCACTGACCTCCCTAGCTCCTCTCCTCAATTCGAAGATTGCTCTCAGCAATTCTGCTGTGCGTGCACACAGGCACAGGAGGGCTAGAAAGCTGGGCAGTGCCTAACTTCATATCCTCATATGTTCTCCATCCCTGCTTTGCCCCTTCCTGTCCCACATCCTGTCACCATGTGCTTACATCCTACCCACCAATCAGGCCAGGCTGAAAAGCCACCTGTCCAGGAGACCTTCCCTGATGCCTCCAGCTGGTGGAAAGCTCTTCCCATTGCACTTGACATTAACCATCCTATGTACTGTCACTTTCGCTCAAGATGAGAGTTCACTGATATTCATGCTTTACCTCCCTTACTTGACCACAGGCAGATTAAGAGTATAAAAATTCCAGATGCATCTTTGTATTCTTCACAGTTCCTAGTACAGCAGGTGTGCAATACATGTTTGCTGAATAAAAATTGTCATTTCCCAAAAATATAACTTCAGACAAGAGCATTCCTATAAAAACAACTGTACTCTTTGATATATTATATTTTAATGATTAATAGGCATTTTGCAAGTTAGTGAGTTGTAAAACATCTGTAGAAAGAAACAGAGAGCCCAAAGAAAAGTTATTTGGAATTCTAGGCTGGGACACTAAGGAGGAGGCAGGAAAGGTAGATACAAGAGAGTTTGCCAGTGCTAAACAGCACTGGGTGCCTTCTCTGTGGACATACAAATGCAGGCCAAGAGACCTCCAGATTTTTCTGCAGGCCAAAGTAGAACTTGAGTTTGCAAGCTCCATGAGCGATTGGGGTAGCTCTGGACCAATCTGGAGTCCTAACTGGGAAGGTCTTCTGGGCTGGACACTCATGGCTTTAAGCCACACTATAGCAGGCCTGAATGCCCAGGTCAACTCTACAACCAGACTAGTGTCCTCATGTCCCACAGACAGAAATACCCTAAGACTAGCACATCGAGAAGTAGTTGTAGTTAAAAGAAAGCAAGTCAAGTCTCCTGGATGCATGCATCAGTTCTGTCCCTAACTAGTTAATCATATGTGACCTTAAACAAGTCACTTAAGCAGAATTACTTAATCCCTCCATACATCAGCTTTCCAGCGCGTATGTAAAGTGGAAAAAGATATTTGCATACGTCCAGAGTTGTTTTAACATCAAAATTAGATGATTTTCACAAAAACACTCCTCATAGCTAAAGAGATACTAAACACATATGAAGAATTATTATTATTATATATCTACTATTGTTTAGTTATTCATCCAATGGATGAGGAACAAGATATAATTAAGCACCCTTTGTTCCTATGGGGTTGATACCATTTGTTCAGTATTGGGATGATATAACGTAACATAACTGCTGCATTATCTTCAATTAATCTTCAACAGGCATTCTAAATACCTGAAGACAAAGAATTCCTGGTTCTTAAAGCATCACCGAAAATGTGCCTTATATCTAATTATACAAATTTCGGATTAGCATTTTAAGAAGTTGTATATGTCATCAGTTAGGATGCAGTGAAGGTGCTGAGCTCCTACTAGCATTTCCGTGCCTGTAACAGAGCTCAGGAGCACTGGGCTTGAGACCCGGATCTGTCACCAATAAGCTTGTGATGTGTGTTTCTTGAATCTCAGTTTCTTCTTCTGTAAAATGAGAATGTTAACATATGTATGATGTTTAGCGATAACACTCTATGAATTTTATTTATTTGCACAAAGGCCTTTGATTTGACTCATAAAAGTCATGGAGGAATGCAGTGCTCTACCAGCCTTGCAGAGTACCCCTACTATAGAAAACAGAATTTCCTATTCCATTTGCTGTGAGTACTATGTAAAGACTAAAATCAGAGAGTCATAAATCGTAAATCCAATGCCAAAAAGTTCAGCCTAAAAAGCAACTAAAATTAATTCTTGTTGTATGAGTAAAAGGTATCTGTTTTGTTTCAGGCCTAATCAATAAGAGGCCTGCACAGAAGAGCTCGTTACTTGGGCCAAACAAAAGTATGTTCATTAAGTAATAAGTTCTTCAATTTCCGCTTAGTTAATATCTTAAACCATTCCGCACAATCTTATGATTATTCTGGCAGGACTTTGCTTCCAAGTATTCAGTGTCCAATAAATAACGACGTAAAAATGTAACACTATAGTAGTTTGAAATTGCCCTATAAGCTGAGCCAGCTGTTTTCAAATCTAAGCAATGGTGGTATCGCGTAAATTGTCTTCCCAGAAGTTTTAGCTTCATATTTAATTTGAACAATGCTGTTATCCGCCCCTTTTTCATCTGGTCACTTTTGGTGGAATAATTAGATGGCTGAAGGGTTTTTTTTTTTTTAACTGCAACAAACATATGTACCAGTTTTCCCACAGAGATGTGAGGGGACTTCTTGACTGGATTGTTAAAACGGAAAATAATAATTAAAGGCTAGCTTTTCAATTAAGCCTTAAGACAAAAAGACAAGCTGGGGTAAAACAAAGATAATTTATGAAATTGCATAAGAACAATCTCAAAAAGGCCTAACTGAAGGGGAACTGGATGGATTTCACATTTCTAATGAAGCTCAGGATCAGAAGTTCTTATTTTTATTCTTTTTTTAAAAAATCACAGCACAATAGAGGCAGGAGTGATGTGCAAGACAAGGTAGAGGGACTCTGCCAAATGTCTGCTATTCCTTTTATCTCATCAAATCTAAAAGAGAAAATACACCTTGGCCACCATCTGCCATCTGCATTCACGATCTTTGGGGCTCTCTCTTCCTCTCCCCCACTCCTGACTCTCTCTTTCGAGTATCCTTCTTATAACACATTACACACACGATCTTAAAAGTCTTCTTACTTTTTTCCTTTTGAGAGTGTCAGTACCACTCTGAAAAGTTTATCTTAAAACCAGTCTTAGAGGAAAGACTAAATATTCTACAGCATGATACATAGGTAGCAGGCACCAAGTTTGTTTTTGAAAAAAAAGCAGGTGTTCAGAACCTGCACGATCTTCCCAGTGAGTCACGGCACCATCTGTGTGGATAACAGTCAGGCTGTGATTGCCTTGCCAATGTCCCTTCAACCCTTAGGATACTTCATGCTGAATTGTAATATATCGTGGAACATCAAATGATAGTTACACTGTGTCATGCTGATTATGACCCTATGGTCCTCCAAAGAATGGAAATCCTCCTTTCTCTGAGAAACAGAAATGCATGTAGAGTTGCAAAAAATCAGGAATGGCTAAAGGGATGAGTAGATGATGGTGGTTCAAATGTATAACCTTTTAAAATGTAAATGAAATGTATGTTTTTCCTATAGCAGAGATAGATGAGCGTAATATTTCTATGTGTAAATACACATACAAATATAAGCACTATGTATAGTTCTAGTCATACTGGCTCTCTGGAGAAAGATGCATACTCGGGTACTATGATGCTTCTTACTGGACCAAAAGTTAATGGATCAAAAGTCATGTGCTAATATTAAGACGGAAAGAATTGCCACGTCAGGGGCCCAACCATCTGGGGTAAGACCCTTTTGAGCTTACAGATCCTAAGTGTATCACTCTGGTCCAGTTAGAGACACCGCATTCTTTACCTTGTCCACCTGTGATAGACACTTGCACACAGCCCTTCAACGTCAGAAGTACCCACCTGGCGTCTGTTCGGGTGTCCCACCGAGAGCTGGAGCAGACTGCTCATGCCTGGTCAACCTCATAGCTTAAAAATCAACAACAACTCTATTTAAATAAGCATTACAGACAACTTGAGCCTAGAAAATATTCTCAGAGCTAACTACATTGGATAGTAGGGGTAAGTAGGGGTAAGTTTAGTTTTCCTATTCGTAATTAACATCACATAAAAGTTGTTTATGTAACAAAAGCTTTGTGGTTGCATTTGAATCTTAAGAACATCTTTCAATGTTACTTCAATTCTTAATCTTCAAAATTGTAATGTGAATCAATTAACAAGAAATAACAATAAATAAACTTTATATCCCAAACTGATCAGTTAGGCTATAAAAGAGCTGGGACACTCAGAAAAAGTGTAATTTATTTAATCTAGGTATTGGTTTCTAGGATCTGAAACACTTTCACCTGGCACCTGGCACTACTGTAGGTCATTCTTAAATGATCACCTGAGATTATCTTTGCTCCCTGAGAAACGGGGTTATTTATTACTTGAAGGGCTTTCATTGACTCTTCCAAAGTTCAAAATACCATATTTCCATAGCTTGTCATAAAATAGAGGAAAATGCAATAAAGAAAATCAAATCATATTTATGATTACAAATGGTTATGTTATATAAGGCTGTATTCTAATAGATGCCAATGGAAAAGCAAACCATTCAGCTTCTGACAGGACAAGAAATACATTTTAGGGTGTTATTTTATTAACTTCATAGCAGTTATGTGATTAAAGATTAAATCATTTAGTAAATTTTACAAGTTAGTAATATATTTAAATATACTCCACTAATATGGTGATTTAGTTATGAATTTTTAATTATCACTCATGAGCCATTGCTAATCATTAGAGTTTATCTAGTCATGTGGTAATTTAAGGAAACTTTTATTCTCTGCAAAAGTGCAATATAAAGACCTTTATAAAACAGGTACATATGGTCTTTTCTTTTTAATTGGCCATGAAGCTTGTTTTTATTTGTAAATTATCTGGTGAAGTTGGGCAGAAATTCAACTTCTCAGCCTGATTTTTCTTTTTCAAAAGCAACCTGGGGCTTGTGTGGCTGCTTCTAGCAAGCATGAATAGAAAATGCGTTCCAAATTTCAACTCTACCTCTTTAGCTGTCATGGGTCTTGTGGTCTAAGTCTTAACTCAAAAAGCTCTTAGGTTACAAGGCTGGTGATGCAAACCTGTAGGTTCTAGGACTTAGGAGCAAATGCTTCTTTTAAGTTTCATGCCTCGCCTCAATGGATTTGCTGCCTTCTCCATTTCAAAACGGTCTACTGCTGGATCAGGGCTTCGCTGTGCCTGCAAACTAGAAAAAGCTACCCAAGGAGCTTTTATACCCTGGGGTGATTTACACCCCTGGGGTGATTCCCTAGGGAGTCTGAAAGCCAAACGTGTTGAATAAGCTCAGTTTGCTAAATATGCTACTCTCTGTGAACATTCAACAAGACAAGTCAACCTCAGAAAGACATCAAACAGACTTAATGGAAGAATGGAAGAAGATACTCAACGAATTTTGGAGGTCAGGGTCTCAGGGAGGGAGAGCGCCCTCTTGGATTCCACAGGCCCTTTCACGCTGTCCCTCAGGGAGCGCACACTCTTCTGGCGGTTTCTTGCAAAGCGAGCCCTCTTGATCTTCCACAAGGCTGCATCACTGAGGTTAGCAACATTGGTCCTCACAGCAGTGATGGCTTTGCCAAAGGAATTAAAGAGGTTATCATTTTCCTTCACTGGCTACGTAATACAGCTAGTTTGAAACAATCCATCCATGTTTCAACATTAACATACATCTTTCATGGATGCACTTCTCCCTCTATGATGAGTCTTATATTTAAAAATCATGACTATTGCCTATCATGACTATCACCAATTATTTTTCTGTTGAGAGCATAAGATTAAATTATCTAGTTTTGTTAACTAACTGAGTAGTTGCGTGAGAAAGTCTTTTCCCCCTCGCTTTGGAGCTGTAGGTAATGGATTAATAAGTATGCAAGAGTGAGTTTGCAAGGTGCAAATATATTTCATGAAATTGCTCATGAATGTTATAAATATAATGACTGAATAATATTTAGGGGAACACACAGTCACAAATGCTTATCATAGATCCTCAAGGAAATGAGAAAAATTCTGATTTTGGAACATCAGAATATACTTAAATCTATGCATTACTATAGTAAATATTCAATAAATGTTTGAGCACATGAAGTCAAGGCATCCTTCATATGAGAAATTAAACTACATGCCGAGTATCTGGTTTATTTAAGCAAGCACAATAAGAACTGTGACTGTTTGAATCAAGTTCTTTGTTTTACTTACTTGTAGGAAAAGGAAATTCTTTGTTACAATCCAAATGCAGCTGAGCTTCCAAAGAAAGCGTCTCAAATCTATTGACAAAGAACTCCCAGCTCAAAGCAGGAATGTCCTGCTTAAGAAAGTGCAAGAGCAATAGCTTGCTCAAAATTGTGGGTCGGTCCTTAACCACAGTGTCAAACTGGAAGTCAAGACAAAGACACAGACCCTGGGAAAGAGGATGAAAAAAAAGTCAGATATAAACATAAGTTACTTCAAAGCCAATATATTTAATACTAGGCTAAGTCAATAAAGTAAAATAATCTCCTCAATCCATACTTACAATGTAGAATGACCCAACTGAAATCTTTTTTGATTGGAAATTCGGGTAGGAAAGAAACAGGTAGAAGGGGAGCTTCTCCGAATTGTAGAATATCTCTTGAATTTTGATTGAGAAATCTGAACTAAATGTATGTTATTGACTTTCTAATGCATTAAATCACAACCACTTAATCCAAATACCCTCAAATCAACATATCTTTTTTCAGTGTCTGTAGTTTTCATTGAGAAGCAGACTTTCAAAGCTACATTTTAGAACATACCAAAAGATCGTGTAATTTCCAATTCCCATTCAATCCTATATTTTGTGATTCTAAAAGAAAGTCAAGTCACCTGGTCTTCTTGGAATGTGAGTGAAATATAGAATGTTAAAAATCAAAGTTGGCATGGATTGAGCATCCATTTCTCTACTGTATGAGTTTACCATTCCCTCTCTTTTTAACTGAATGAAATTTAAAGATTGTAATTCATCCAACCATCCCATTAATTCATTCAACTGCCATCTAATGAGTGTGTCCTATGTTCCAGGCTCTGAGCAGGGGTAGGAGGACATAGAACTACCTAGTAACACCAAGAGAGGACTATCTAGAAGAGAACTGGGGATTTTACGAGGGAGGATGCACCACAGGCAGCATAAACCTATAATTTTTCAGATCCTGCACAATTTGCCCTTGCTTTGTGGTCTTAAAATGCAGGAAGAACTCTTACACTGGATTGGGAGGCAGTGCACATGCACACACACACCACACACACACACACACACACACACACACACACACACACACACAGTTAAGCACATAGACTTTATTACGAGTCAGTCTTGAGTTTCCTATGCTGCTCACTAGCTATGTGACTTTGAAAAGTAACTTAACCTTCCTAACCCTCAGCTTCTCTATTTGTAAAATGGCAACACGCAAAAGGTTATTGTGAGGATTAAGTGAGATGATGCATTTAATGGGACACTTTTAATACACTGCCCTGACAACACATTACCTATTTGGCAAATGTGAGCTCTTGCCATTATTTTTAGTTTAATAATAACAACAAAATAATAAATCAGGTGTCAATATGGAAAAGGTAGAGCAGAATTTGGGAGATTCTAGTCTTGGTTCTCTCACTAATTCACTTTGTGCGCTTTGATAGGTCACGTTCTCTCTCTGACACTTGGTTCCTCAGCTATAAAATAAGGTACTATCCATAGCCATCCCACCCTGAACGCACCCAATCTCAAGCACGGTCGGGCCTGGTTAGTACTTGGATGGGAGACTGAAAATAAGATACCAAGCGAGATAAATAGTCAGCTCTCTCCAGGTCTCATGTTCCATGTCTCTTTGGCTTTAATTTGTGATGTTTCCTTTTGGTAGCATATTTCCCTTCTCGTGTTTTACTTTGATGATATTGTAATTCATCTGATTTCTCTTAGCATCTCACCACTAACAACAGGAGCTTCCAGCCCAGGAGCCAGCTAAACAGTATAAGATAAATCAGCCTAGTTTAAAAATCTGCCCCCGCACACACACAAGTTACACAATAATTACATCTGTCCAAAAGTGATTTCAGCACATGGACAAAGACTTAAAAAAACAGTATCAACAAATAAAAACAAGAGCTCTTTTAATAAGATGTGGTTCTTTTATGTTTATTCCAACTTAAAAATTTCCATCATCATCATCATCATTAAAATATGTGTTTATGTTATGCTATGGTCTGAATGTTTGTGCCTCCACCCAAAAAATTCATTAATCGCCACTGTGATAGTATTAGGCGGGGGGCTTTAAGAGATGATTAGGTCACGTGGGCAGAGCCCTATTGAATGGGACTATTGCCCTTATAAAAGAGAACCCAGAGGTTGCTGTGAGCTGGGCTGATGCCGCGGCACTCTAGCCCGGGCAACAAAGCGAGACTCGGTCTCAAAAAAAAAAAAAAAAAGAGACCCCAGACACAGCAAAAGGTACCATCTACAATCTGGAAAACAGGCCATCGCCAGACACTGAATCTGCTGGTAACTTATCTTGGACTTCCCAGCCGCCAGAACTGTGACGGACAAATTTCTCTTGTTCACAAGCTATACAGTTTATGACATTTTGTTACAGCAGACCAAACAGACTAAGATATGTGACAAATAACTCAATGATTTAGTAGTGCTGACCCAGACCAGCTGCAGAGCAGATAACACACATCACACATCACCTGCAATGCCGGCCTCTTTATGGTGTCAAGCAGGAGACCAGCCCTGGTAGCCACTGCTGGGTTGACATCCTCCACAGCTGTTAGAAAGCAGCAGAAGGCATGTGCCAGAGAGTACTTCAGCAGGTGGTTTTTGGTCACTGAGTGAATATCCAGAAATCTACAAATGACAGCCACTTTTTCCACTGCAATGTAAAATACAGAGGACAAAATATTACTATATATATATATATATATACGCACGCATACACATACACACACACATTTATTTAGACAGTCTGAGAACTGAGCTCACAGAGAATAAGTTAACTCTGGGTCCCCCACTTGATTTATTTTAAATACCAGAAGGAGATTCCAACGCCAGCTTCTTGAGTGTTCCATTTCATCTGTGCACCAGACTCTTCCTACTCAGGACAGTCGTGTTTTGCCAGGCAGCCTTGATTTAGCTCTGGGTTGTCCTTTATGTTTTTTGAATGATCTTTCTCTTGGTTTAACTGTCAGCTGCATTGCAAACTATTCGAAATGCCTCTCTGCTCATTTCTGTGGCCATTCTGCTGAAGCTCTGCAGACTACAGAGAAAGGTGGGAGGTGCCTACTAAGCCTGGCTCTAGGTTCTGGGCCCCTTACTCTGCTCTTAGTAGGTCATGATGCAAAATGACAGATCAAACAGACACTTCCTGGGGCTACAGAAGCCATGTATTTCTTTCATGTTATAAATATACTCTTACTTAACAGATTTCTAATTATTCTACAAATCTATGTTAAACAATTCCAGCTACTCTTAAAGCATAGCTTTATAGAAAGTTGTAATAGCTAGTAAAGCAATGTAGTGTGATGCAAATTAAGATGTTTCAGTACTTTGCTTAAGTTGTTCCAGTAGCCTAGAATATTCTTTCTACTCTTTTTTGCTTATTGCATTCTCTCATCCTTGAAGGATCTACAGCTGAAATTCTACCTATTCTGTGGAGTCCACTCTGACCTCCTGGAGTAGCCTTTCCATCCCATGCACTCCTGTAAAAATGCTACTCATTTATGCACTGTTAATTTAATTGGGTGCTCATATGTAGCTATATGACATATCTTCTTTTGTGGCCTTACATTATATTTATGCCTTTCATAGTGTGTTAACCTCTTACCTGTTTATATTTGCTCTCATCAGTTAAATCGGAGCCTCTTGAGAGCAGCAACGAATCTGCTCTTTTTTTTTTTTTTTTTGACACAGAGTCTGGGCTAGAGTGCAGCAGCATCAGCCTAGCTCACAGCAACCTCCAACTCCTAGGCTCAATTGATCCTCCTGCCTCAGCCTCCAGAGCAGCTGGGACTACAGGCATGCGCCACCATGCTCAGCTAATTTTTTGTTTCTGTTTTTAGTTGGCTGGCTAATTTTTTCTATTTTTAGTAGAGACAGGATCTCACTCTTGCTAAGGCTGGTCTCGAACTCCCGACCTCAAGCAATCCTCCCGCCTCGGCCTCCCAGAGTGTTAGGATTACAGGCGTGAGCCACTGCGTCCGGCCTATATTTCTTTCTATTGCTGCCATAGTGCCTAGCACATATAGTATTTATTCAACAAATTCACTGATTCGCTTATTTTAAAAATACATATTAACCATATATATAAACTAAAAAGCTATCCTAGGCACTTGTGGGGAGAGGGAAGTCAATGGAAAGATGAATCATTCACATTTGACTTCAAAGTCAAGTTGACTAAAGGAGATAAGATAGGTACAACTATAACTGAAATGTAATACAAAAAGCTAAAATGCCTCTAATGAGGTACAAAGGAAACACTATGGGAGGTCCGGAGATAAAGAAACCACTTTCCACCGAGGGGACACAGAAGGTGGAACTCAATGGTGGCGTTGAAGGTGGACTGGATAGAGGTGGCATTTGAGTAGGGCCTTGAAGGGAAGAGGATGAAGGATGGAGAGCACAGCACAGCCAACGCGTGGGTGACGGGGAGTAGGAAGCGGGAGGAAAATAGCAATGGTATGTGTGGCAAGGAGAGTAGGAAGTGAGGCTGCCAACACCTGCAGGTAGCCTCTGGGAAGCTTTGAATGTCAGTTTATGGAGTCTGAACTTCATTCTCTAGGCACTGAAAACCCCTTAAAATGTTTTGAGTAGAAAAGTAAATAAGTCAGAGCTGTAATTCAGAAGATTAATCTGGCAACAATCTAATCCTCAAATCTGAATGAAAGAGCACAGTTAAATATTGATCTGCTTTATTTGTATTTAAATATCTATAAAATGTTGCTATCCTGTGTAGATTTTTGCTAGAAAATTTTACTCCAATCTAATTCCCTACAACACTATGTGCTATCATATAAATAAACTAGCCCCTGGGATTCACATGGGCATTAAAAGGCAAGGACTCTTTGAAGTGGCCAGATATATTAGGAAACTGAATTCTTTAAGGTTCAGTTTCTGTAATAGTTAACTTATCTGATGGAACTTCCATTTTTGTGCCAAACTTTTCAGACACTAAAATGTATGGAACTGTTCAGATAAGCCACGCTAAGGCATGCCGATCCTGCTTGCTACCCCGAGAATGGCAGTACTAGCAGACTGGGGTGGCAGTGTGCCAGAAGACAGGACGCTAAGGGAACACATCCAGCTTCCTTCCTTACCACGCTGCTCTGAGCATTCGCTGTTCTACACACCAGGAAATTACACCCATCACTGCACCAGCCTAGTCCCTGATGCCCCAAGAGTATACAGCAGAGATTCTCACACCTCTCGTTAAAAACCTAGAAGCCCGGCTCACCCCCCACCCCACCAAGAGTCTGACTCAGTAGGTCTAGGGTGTACCCTGATAATCTACATTTTAACAAACATTCCCAGTAACTCTGATGCAAATAACCTAATAGGTTGAGCACATGATTTATCATCCAAGCTGGGACACATTTGGCGGTAAACGAGGGGGCAGTTAATAATGACAGCTGGATAACAGGCATGCACTGGGTCTACCCAAGGCAAACCTGGACAGGTTTGGACCACTCTACAAAACACTCCCACTTTAGAGAGGAAGCTCAGCTATGTAGAACCCCCAAAGAACACCTGCAAGCAGGAGAATGCCCTTTAGAAAAAAAGGAAGAGAAAGGAGATCCAAAAGCAGATGTCATGACTGGACCCCTGGTTCACCTTGGCACCCAGACAGAATTTTTAAGCTAACACAGAGGTACCTGCTTCAAACCGCATCTTCCAGTCTTTGCTGTTGAAGTTGCCGTTTATGATTGTCCAGAAGATGTCAGCACCATGAGGAAGTGACAGGGCGTGGAGCAGGAGAGGGACGGCCAGTGAGGACAGCTGGGAGAACTCGGACTTGACGACTCTCCACAGGCTGGAACCAAGGAGAAGCAGAGCGGTTACGGCATCACAGCCTTTTTAGAAAAAAAAATCCTGTGCTTTTAATTTATGGGAGTGTAGTTAACAGACGGCTGGTAGTGATGCTTCTGGTCAAATTCCACTCACCCACGAGACCATAATCCTCTGATAAACTTTTCCTATGCTCTGTCCTGCTAATGCTTTAGAGAAAATGCTTTCATGTAACACTATAGAAAAACGCTTTCCACTTGACATTGCACTCTTTCACATAAAAATTAAAAATAAACCCAACACTATAAATTTAGCTATAAAAATGAACAGTGACTGTTAAATTACAGACAAAGCTGATATTAGCTATGTTAAGATGATAGGGGTGATAAGTGATTTTAAAAAGTATTTTATTTTATATTTTTTATTTTATTTTATTTTATTTATTTTATATTTTATTTTATTTTTTTATTTTATTTTATTTCATTTTTACAGACAGAGTCTCACCCAGGCTGTTAAAATGTTCTTACAGTGGAACATCTGGGAAGTTGTGTTGGTTTTGCCTACCCAGCAGCCCTCTCCCCTTATTATGGCAAAGAACAACTTTTTTTCTGCTAGTAACAGCCCTGCAAGAACTGGCAGGTTGTCAGTCAAGCTTGCCGACTTTCCCTATCATGAAGATGGACACGAAACATAGGCTGATCAAAGAACTCCAGCACCCTGAATAGAGTGATTAGTCTAGGAAGGGGCGTGCGACCCAAGCACGGGAATGCCAGAACCCTTTTTGCAACGACCGATATGGACTATAGGAGAGAAAGTTCTCTCCCCTTCTGAAGTCTCAGGAATGAAGGGCAATATCGGTCGAGGGCTGCAGGTGACCCTCTTTCCCGCTGCACAGGGGCAGCCCGCACTCAACCAAGAAGCCAATACTCAGGTCCATCTAAGAAGTCAAGACAGAACTGGGCTAAGAGATGGGGAAGGAAGATTAGGGGAAGGAGGAAAAGACATCCTTGATGACAGCTCATACCTTAGCAAGTTTAAGCTAAATCACTATCAAGTTCTACCAGAATAATTCCGAATATATTTTTAGTAACAATATATTATTGGTTTCAGAGTTGTTATTCAATTATTTAAAGTATGCCTTTTGGTTGTTCTTGTTGCTTTGTTTTATTTTCTATTTGGCTCCAGAGCTAATATCAGAGTCAAACTATTTATGTCTTTGAAACACTCATAAGACACCACTAAGAGATAGGACAGTGACACATACCATCTCCATTTTACAGAGAGCACATTGAGGTGCAAGTCACCAGAGTTGGTTGTTTCTCAGAAGACATACCAGAGCTACAGAATGAAAAGGAGCAATTTTCAAACACCACACGCTTAGTCTGAACAGAGGAAGTCAGACAAATACGGATCTGATCCCAGCCCTGCCCTTCATGAGCTGCACAACCCTGTGCAAAGCTCTCAACTGCTCCGAACTTGCGTTTCCTCCGAATGCGGGTTGTGTCAAACGGGATGACGCAGAGCGCTTGGCACACGGCGGGTGTCAGAAACCCTGAGCTACTATCATCCCCACCAGGATAAAAGCGATGACGCTTCCACAGCACAACGATAGCCCCTATGAAGAATGCAAAGGAAAAAGACACCATCTGTGCCTCATGGAACTGTCAGTTTAGTTGAAGGAAGCAAACCACGTACGACACTGCTAGAAAACCATCTCAGTGACAAAAACCCCGGATTGGGCCTGTCCCGGTTCTCCAAGCAGCTCTGTTTGAAAAGAGAAAGAGACTCACAGACCCCTCTGGGGTCCGTCATGGTTTCTCTGTCAGGGTGGTACTTTGAGAAGAAAACCTGGTACTTTACGGAGAAAACTTCGGCTATGTGCCCCAACGGCTGAGATGGCAGTCCCATGGCACCAGCAATCCCTTTGGCATGGGTACATTTTCATGGGGGTTGCGTTAACAACAACAGAAATGCCCATTTAGCACTCCCACGCTGAATTAATGGAGCATCTGCCTAACTCTTGTCCCTGTTCATGCTTCTGCCAGGATTTGCTGCTTGGCTCATCCATCCCTCACACTGATCCTTCCAGATCATTCCTGCTCTGCCCCACATCCAGGTCAGCCATGTCTACCTTTGACCAGCTCCTTCCTCCCACCACACCTGTGGAATCTCTGTCCTATCATGAAGAGACTCCTACAGCCCTCATCTTCCCCGTGGTTTGCTTCTGTAGTGGGTTCAGTAGTGTCCCCCAAAATTCATGTTCACCCAGGACCTCAGCATGTCGCCTTATTTGGAAATAGTCTTTGTAGATGTAATTAGTTAAGATGAGTTCACATTGGATTAGGGTGGACACTAAATAGAATGAGGGGTGCCCTTAGAGGAAGAGGAGGGGACACACAGATACACAGGGAAGAAGGCCACGTGGCAGAGACTGGAGTGATACAGCTACACGCCAAGGAACACCAAGAAACTGGGACAGAGACGTGGAAGACTCCTGCCCTAGAGCCTGCAGAGGGAGCATGGCCAGGCCAACACCTTGATTTCAGATTTCTGGCCTCTAGAATGGTAAGAGAATAAACTTCTGTTATTTTAAGCCCCTCAGTTTGTAGCAGTTTGTTACAGCAGCCTAGGGAACTAGTACAGCTTCCCCTTCCTCCCTTAGCTAAAACCTGACATGTTCCTGGTAACACACTTCCCCTCAACCCTGAGAGTGAATCTTTGCACGCTCCAGACAATCCTTGCTTCCCACTACTTCCTCCAGGTTTCCCCTTACCAATCTCTTTCTTTTGAAGCCCGTGACATCTACGCATAGGGCCTCTCCCCATTCCTTGGGGAATCAGGCATCCAGCTCAGCCTCGCTCCTCACCCCAACATGGGCAGTGGATCAAGCCCTGGTCCCACAGACCTCCCACCTCTACACACAGGGCGGCCTCGGTCTGCTGGATGAGCCATTGCGCTCACTCTCTAAGACAGGCAGCCTCAGCTCCCCGCTCCTCAGCTCCTTTGCCCTTTTCTCTCCTCTTCTCCAAACATAATTCTTCTTCTGGCTTCATCTTTCTCCCGTCATAGACTGGATCCTGGAGTCGACTGTTTCATCACTCTGGAATTCCTCATCCCTCTGACCTTCCACCATAACCAAATAGCTCATCTCCAACCCAAAATAAACCCCTTGCCCATTTTCTCCCATCCACTCCCAGGCCCTGAGCACTGGAGGATAAGAAACCTCAGCTTCTACTAACTTGGTCCACCGCAAGCTGGTGCTGGCTAACGCCAGCTGGGCCCCAGAGTTGGCAATCCTTTGATTATTCCTTGTTAACTCCCTGCTGCTTTCTTCTGGGCCATCCCATACTTTTTTCCATGTTCCCAAAGCTCCCACCCAATCTCTGACCTCCCCTCTATCAGGAGAAGACATCAACACCTACAAAAGTTTAAGTCACCTGTTATGAACTTTGCTTAACACTTTCTTTCTCTTTTCCTCAAAATTTATCTCTTTTCAAAGGAAAGAGCATCCCTCTTGTTTTCCACCCACGCCTTTGTCTTTGATTGCACACTCTCCTGCCTTCCAGAACCCGGCTCTACTAGCTGTTCCCTTTTTCTGGCCCTTTCTGAAGGTCCTTTCCCACTGACCATGGATACATTCAGATTTTCTATATCCTAAAAATCCTTTACATCCACTCCCTTTCCCCTCTGAGTATCTGAGGTTTCCCTTCCTTTTCTAACACACTTTTCACAAGAAAGTTCTTTGTTACATCTTACATTCCTTAAGCCCTTGCAACTTGTTCCTTGCACTCCCTTGAACTTGGGTCATTTCCTAGGACCTCTCTTTTCTCTGTTCTATTAAAGCACAACTCTGACTCTGTCCACTGTTTTAACATTTTCCATGGATCTCCAAACATCATTAAATAAAGTCCCTATCATCAAGCCCCTTCATACTTGGGTCCAACCTATCTCTCCAGCTTCATTTTCCATCACTCCCCTAAATCCACACCACCCGGCAAAACACGAAGCCTTGGTGTCACCTAAGTATGCCCCGCTCATTTCTCATCCCTTCTTTCCAACTCTGCCATGCATTTGCTCTTGACGTTTCTGCTTTCCACACCATCCGCTACCCATCTCAAATCTCTACCCATCAAAATTCCACTATTCTTTTTTTTTTTTTTTTGAGACAGAGTCCTCCTTTTGTTGCCCTGGCTAGAGTGAGTGCCCTAGCGTCAGCCTAGCTCACAGCAACCTCACACTCCCGGGCTCAAGCGATCCTTCTGTCTCAGCCTCCCGAGTAGCTGGGAATACAGGCATGCGCCACCATGCCCGGCTAATTTTTTCTATATATTTTTAGTTGTCCAGATAATTTCTTTCTATTTTTAGTAGAGACGGGGTCTCGCTCTTGCTCAGGCTGGTTTCGAACTCCTGAGCTCAAACGATCCGCCCGCCTCGGCCTCCCAGAGTGCTAGGATTACAGGCGTGAGCCACCGCGCCCGGCCTCCACCATTCTTTTAATGCCTGTTCAAAGGGAATCTGCTCCTGATCCTTCATCATTCCTCACTCATCCAGAAATGATCTCTCCCACCTCTGAGCTGTTCACACAGTCCTTTATCATGTTCCCTTGGACGGGCAGTGACTTATATATGCATAGACTGACCATGAATCTTAGTTTATCCACGGCTGGCCATTTTACACTTATTGTTTTGGGGTTATTAATATTATGAAGACCACCTCTCTTCACTCTTAGACATAGACCAATTTGAATAATAAATTATATGTCACCTTCTGTATATATAATAATCACCCCTTCCAAACTAGGTTGCAAATTCCCCAAGTACCTGGAACAATAATGGATATTGTAAGCCCTCATAATATTTGTTGAATGGATGAATACATAAATGAACAAAATGAGTAGACAGATAGAGCCTTGACTTGATTGTGTCACCAAGTTAACCTGAACCAGTCTTTTCCCTTTTTACCGGCTCATTCTCTTACACATAAAATAAGGATAATATTTCTCTGATATTCTTCCAGGAAGACTGCTAGAGTTATTTTAAGGTTGTCAGGAAGAAAAGCACTGTAAATCTGTAGAGTAATGTTTTATTATTATTCTCAAAGTGCCTCAATAGTTTCTAAAAAATAACTTATCAGATAATATATAGAGAGATTTTAGACATCTATTAGCAGTTTATTTCAAGTAAGGAAGCAGGTTAAGTCCTTACTTACTTATACTAGTAAATATTAACTTATTGTCTGTTAACATTTTTCTGTATTTTCTATATTCTTAAGCCCTCTAACAAGTGAAAGACATAAGATAATCTTTATTTCACCTTTTCTATTTCTACAGTATCTGGCAAATGAAAATTACTATGCCTTGTATTGACATACTTAAAAATCAGACTAAGTAAAAGAAATAAAAGTGGTTCCCACAGGCAATCAGGCTGTCCTGGCTAAGAAAAGTAACCCACATGAGCTAGTAATTTTTAGTCTAATTTTAATGTTCACAACTAAAGCCTGAAATATAAACAAAGGAAATAAACCATTAGGCAGACATACCTTGCAATCAACATATGATCTTGAATGTAGGCTAGAAATTGAGGGTGATCTTTTCTAGCAATGTATAAACACTCTCCATGCAGACAGAGAATCTTCAGGCAATTGAGCATATTAAAAAGAATGTCTGGCTCTTCAAACTTAGCCATTTCCTATGCAAAGAACCACATGGTCACTGAGTTACCCAAAACAGCAATGCTCCCAAACCAAACGTTCAAAGATTTCTGAAAATATACCTGGAAAATGGTATATATTAGTCTCAAGGTCACTGGAAGCTGCTGGTAGCAAAATTTTCTCTCAGTATCATTTTTTATTGCTGTGAAGAAATAATTAGACAAAGGTTAGACTAAGTCCTTCTTTCCCTCACTGTTCATCCGTTGATAAAGATTATAAAACCAAGAGGAGTTAAAAATAGGTGCAGAATGCATTTAAAAGTGTTTGTGTAATGTGTTTATTTGCTCTCCAAATTAGCATATATCCCTTCTATGGTGCAAATGCAGGAAAGTTTCTAAATCTGGGATCCTCAGCTTCCATTTTCCACTGTGCAGTCTGCATGTATTCAGATGTCTCTGGAGCCCCGGAGCTGCCCCAGCCCAGTCCTGTTCTATGCGGGCTTCTAATTCTGCAGCTCCAAGAGGGACCTGGAGCCTGGCTGGGCATGCCTCCCTAACCGCAAGGGAGATACACGCTATGAAACCGAGGTATTCAAGTCATATTAGCACCTAAAGACATTTATCCCCTAGACTCTCAGAAAAGGGGGTGTTTTGAAGAAGCTGAGCAGATTCAGATGAGAACAACTACTCATGGTTCCATCTTCTTGTAAGGATCTCTAAAGCCTCTGCCCCCATAGTGGGGGCAACAGTGTATCATACACGAGGCAAGCTAGAGAAAAGAATTCACAAGTTAGCCAGATGCAGAAACTAGTGTAAAATGTGTCAAAATCACCATTTAAAGTTTTGGTCATTCCTAGAATCAGAACCAATAGCAGTCAAACCCTCTTGGCCTATACACTAGACAGTTAAGAGTTCACCATGAATCTTCCCACTTGAATGTATTTTAAACACTTTTTATCGGTGCTTGATTGTGTTTCGTTTGACGCGAAAATTTTAAATATATTTTTGGTGGCAGACATGTCTGACTGCTATAGGAAATAGGGGACAGGCCCCAATACAGAAAAAAGAAATGCTCAAGAAGGAAGGGGAAATCCCCGAACGTATGTCAACAGAGCACCCCTTAGTTCTAGGATGGGGGAGCCCCAGGAGCCCCTCCTGAGGCTCACAGAGCAGAAGCAGGACCCAGGCTGTAAGCAGCAGGGAACAGTGGTCTGGGAAGACAGTTACCAGGGCTCCCTTAGAAGGCACATCATAACTGTGTCCTGCAAGACAGCAGAGACCAAAGCAGGAAGATAGGCCGGAGCCATGACAGAAGCCTGAAGGAGTGTTTGGAGGAGAAAAGAGCGAATGGAGTTTACCACAATCCAGAAAGAAAAAGTAATGTGTAAAAAGAAACTGCTAAATTTTAGCCATTATTCAAATAAAATGTTACATACAAATAAAAGTGGCAGTTAATTCATCCATGTGCTATTTTAGGTCTAAAAAATCCATTTGCCTGGGAAGAGTACACGTTGTTGGATTGTAAGTGAAGTTCGTGCTTCCCTCAGACATCAATGCCCGATAAAACACACCGTGTGCCTGGGCTGGGGCCACTGCAGCACCTAAAGCAAGTTAGTCAATCCTAAGTAAACCAGGAAACTGGGCTCTAGTCCCAATCCGGCCACTAGCTGGTTGTGCAATATTTGAATTTCCAATTCCTGGGTTCCCACCCCAGAGATACCCAGTATACTGGGTGGCAGAGTGGAGCACATTTATTTTGTGTTTCACCCCCTCAGATGATTCTGATACTCCTTTACAGCTTCATAACCAGGGCAAATAGCACCAACTGCGAACGTATAATATGAGCTACGTGAGCATGGGCACGTCATTGAACCCATCCCAGAAACACTGCTTTGGCCAAATGTCCTGAGTCGAGCTTGTCAGCACCCAGCCTCAGTTCTCAGACTTCTCCACAGGGAATACCATGCACGGTGAGAAGGAAGGTGATGTGTTTATTGAAAACAAGGTCCTGCTGCCAGAAAGATGCTCAGCGAACTGTGTTCTACTAGAACCATAATGGATCCGCTCACTTCATAATCTGGTGGGAAATAGTTCTTCTGCACAAATCTATACTAGAAGTCACGTCTGAGCATGCCCAAGTCGACACTAACCTAAGAACGCAAGGATCTGAAGCTTAGGTACTGTGCTCACAGCACCCCTCCCTGCCCGCTGTGAGCATCCACCTACCAGCATGTTCCGCGGGCTCAGTGCGGTTGCCTGGGTTCTCCCCTTGCTTGGTGGCTGGGTTCTCCTCCTCCTCTCCCTCAGGGCCTATGATGAACTCTGGTCTGGAAGAAAGGAGGCTATCCTCGAGGCTGTCTGTGGGCTCCTAGAACAGACAGGACGAGGAGCTGGTTGAGCAGCACTGGAGGGGAGAAGCAACAGCTGGGCTCAGCCCAGAACAGCTGGATGGCACGGCCGCTGCACCCTGCGCCCCATGAGAGCCTACAGCTTGTTTCCAGAACAGTGAAAGGAAATCTATACCAGCTGTTACTGATACATTTTCTTTCACTTGAAATAAATATGGAAAAATATCAACAACATTGTTAGATCTTCCTGGGCCTGCTCATCCCCATCTGCTTTCATCCCCAAGATCAGTGTCCTGCTAACCAAGCGACTCCCATCCATGCACGTTTTGCTCGATAACAGAACTTAATTAGGAAGGAATAACAAGGTGTTCACAGAGCTATATTAAGGTGTAAACACTGTCCAGAGAAGTCAAATTTTTAGGAGCAAGAAATTGCTGTAATGTGTGAGTTAAAGAGGGCAAAGTATGGCGACTCCACTGTCCATCCACAGATGGATGAATAAACAAATGTGGCGTATACAGACAACAGAATATTACTCAGCCTTGACAAAGAAGGCGACTCTCACACATGCTACATGAGCCTTGAGGACATTATGCCAAGTGAAATAAGCCAGGCATACAAAAACAAATACCACATATTCTCACTTGTATGTGGACTCTACAACCATCGAATTCAGAGTAGTAGAAAGTAGAATGGTGGTTACCAGAGGCTGGGAAGTGAGGGGAATGGAGAGCTGTGACCGTTTTATATTATAGTAAGTAACCAACGACTATGTTGAAAGACCACTCTACAAGGATGTTACGTTGAGTGGTAGGACTAACAAGTTAAACAGGCTGAAACAGAAGAAATACGTCATTGCTTTTTGTATGTTATACTTCAAAACATCTTTTTTAAAGAAGTCACTTTCTACCTAGACAAACATTAAGGAAAAGAAAAGATGGCAAATACTGGCTCAAATAATTCAGGATCAACTACCTATGGTGGTATGAGGGTATTTCGTGATATGTATATGTTAGATTTAAAAACAGGCTCAACAGGGCATAGCTAATGTATGGAGGAGCCAGAGGATGGCATATAGTAGCTGTTCTCTCTTTAGACAATTTTCCTGGAAAGCAGAAAATGAAAGTACCCAGAAAAAAAATGAAGGTTTTATTCATTGCTGCTGAAGTCAACAGGTTTTACAAAGTGAGGTTACCTAGTCATTCTTGGTGTCCATGTACAATCTACTTGCTTAATATTTCATATGTATACTCTGTAGCATTCCTTGTTATATAAACTTTATGATATAACTTTGTGATAAAACTTCTTTCAAGAATACCAGTAATGCTTTATGTTCATTAAACTGTACGAACAGAGGTACCACAGCCCTGATCAAGACACTTAGGATTTTTTATGGTGTGGCTCTGTCTGATATCCCTTTCCGGGAGTCTGAGTTGGCAGAAACAACAGGAAAACTTTGTTTTAACACAGTCTCACACATAACCCAGCATGCAGCAGAAAATAATAATAGAGGAAGACTCCATTACACCAGCTACTGCCATCTTTCTTACTATTATCCATGAGTCATCCCATTTCTTCAACTGCTTACCACCAGCCGGCTTTCTTCTTTGGGAGCTAGTCTCTCCAGGAGTTCACAAGCAAGCTGATAGCAGAGAATGCTAGACTGACATAAGTTACACTCGACTGCTTTTTCTGCCTTCTGGCAGGTGTGAGATCCCCCCCAGGGGGCTTGGAAGACATTGTTTATAATAGAAATAATGTCCTTTGACAAGCTGTGCTCTAAACCCATCGTGATCCCATCATCTTGTAACTCCATCTGAAAGACACCAAAAAAAGGACAGAAAAAAAAAAGAAGAAGAAGGAGTTTGATCCTTTTGTCCAATATTTCATTGACACACTCTTTGGGGATAATTTTTACTAACCAATAGCAATATTAAATTATTTAAAGACAATTTAGGCTCTTCAAGACCATGAATACACAATGCTTTCCAAGAATTCTTCTAAAAAGAATATAAACACAGGACAAAGTAATGGGAATTATTTTAAAAATCATGTAGAACATCTAAAAGAGTTGTTTTTAAACTCATCATTTTGTGAGATTTTACACATTTTTTAAAATGCTGCTCCTCACCTAGTATCCAGATCTTGGTTTCTAAATACCATTTTCCACTAAAAGGAACCCGGGCTCCTTGGAGAAACGGCTGACTCCAGGGCTGGGGCTAGGAAAATATAAGATGAGCCTGGAATATCTCATCATGCCAGAAATTAAGGAACTGCTCAAAGAATAATGCAGACATGTCAAAAGAACATATGAGGCTGGGCGCGGTGGCTCACGCCTGTAATCCTAGCTCTCTGGGAGGCAG